TAAAAGGTGTGAGATGAATCTGCATAATAGTCAGAGAAGAATCTGTAGATTACAAAGAATCTCATGAAATAAGAAACTGAGTGACAGACTCTTTTCTCTTTGCAGTAACAAGGGATTTTTTCTCACTGAGATTTTTTATAGATGTGAAGGGTTTTTAGTGAGTATCACTGCAGTGCTGAGCTGACTATGAAGTCACTCAGTGAAAGGCTTCACAGACAAAGTCTTAAAGAGGGGGGAGTATGTAAGAAATCTCACTTCTCACAGATTCTTTATCTCTATTTCTATCTCTTGTGTAATCAATAGGGCTAGCGGCCCTTGGCTACACACAACTATATAGACTGAAGTTCATGAATACTATTCACAACTCAGCTTGAATGCTATTATACATTTGATCTCTACATTTATCTTTCTACTGTGAACACTTCTAGTAGTTAACAGTACATATCACGCCAAGCTGCAAACACCCGAATAATCGCCTGCGAGCACTTATTCTTACAAAAACCTAGATATATTCATATATATCTGATCAGAGATTGTGTAAGTAGAGAGAAGATAATTGTAGATCTGCAGAGCTGTAGAAGACACTGACAACTTCAGAAGCTTTATAAGAACTGTTAGCTAGAGTCTGTAAGAAATTACTTATAAGAAGACTTACAGTAAAGAAGAAGACTGCACTACTTAAAGTCAGAAGCTAATCTGAGAAAGACATGAAATTAACTACTGATCTGAAGATCAGATGCAGTAACAGAGCTAAGAGAGATAAAGACACTGTTATAAGCAGTGACATCTCTACTTCATCAGCTGATAAAAAGTAATCAGAGAAGTTGTAGAAATACTTATAAGAAGCTCAGCAGCAGTCAGATATTATTTATAAAGATATTAAAATTGAAAAATTTTTATTCTTGAGAAGTTCTTGAATCAATATATGAATATTGTTAGAAACACTCTCTCTCTGTCATCTGAGTGAAAACACTTCATGAATGAATGAGAATACTCACAGTTTATAAGAATAAGAGCTGTTATAGAAAAAGAAAAAAGAAGATAAGATTTTATAAACAGATCTGAGATATTTATACTACTCTAGAGAGGTTTATTTACACTGTGAGTAATTCTATGAAACAGTCAGATCACTCTAGTAAATAAAGAGTAATTATGAATTGCAGATCTGAATCTTTCTATATAATTATAAAGAGTGATTACAGATTGTAGATATCTTAATTCTATAATTCTACAGAGTTGATAAAAGAATGAAAAATTTCTCACAATTCTACAATGTTAAAGAACAATAATTCATGAGAATGAGTGAAAGATCAACTTATAAATACTTCTCTTTAATAAGAATAATCTCACAGAGAGTAATTTATCTGTAAGATAAATCTATATAATGATTACACAAGAATCTTATGAAAATGATTGAGAGTCAACTGAAATTCTTCTGTATAAAAGATATGAGATGAATCTGTGTAATAGTCAGAAAAGAATCTGTAGATTATAAAGAATCTCATAGAATAAGAAACTGAGTGACAGACTTTTTTCTCTTTATAGTAATAAGAGATTTTTTCTCACTGAGATTTTTTTTTATAGATATGAAGAGTTTTTAGTGAGTATCACTGCAGTGCTGAGCTGATTCTATGAAGTCACTCAGTGAAAGACTTCACAGACAAAGTCTTAAAGAGAGAGAAATATATAAGAAATTTTACTTCTCACAGATTCTTTATCTCTATTTCTATCTCTTATATAATTAATAGAGTTAGTGACTCTTGACTATATACAACTATATAGACTGAAGTTTACAAATACTATTCACAACTCAGCTTGAATAGTATTATATATTTAATCTCTATATTTTATCTTTCTACTGTGAATACTTCTAGTAGTTAACAGTATATATCACATCAAGCTGCAAACACCTGAATAATTATCTGTGAGTACTTATTCTTATATGATCTTACTCAAGATGAATTAGAGTCAGCTATCTTCTCAAGTTTAGTTAAAACTGCTGCAGAGCCTGATTCAATTAATCACTTGATTATTCAAAATACATACTTCTACTTAAAGAATAAATATTTTGAGCTCTTTTTCAATCTCTTGAAAAATGAATATTATTCTGAATGCTAAAGAGAAGTCACTGAAGTGATTCTTATAAAATCTAATAAAAAAACTTCAATTCTTAAGTTATATAGAGTAATATCTCTATTGAACTGTCTGTGATTCAAAAGAATGTACAACTGTTGAATAATAACACAATCACTTTCAAACTTGCTTATGAGTATAAAGAGATCATAGCAGTCACTAATTAATTTAGTATATAATATATAAGAAGCTGATGTACATCTGTAATTATACACTGACTCAAGCAATCTTTGAATCATATCTGATAGTATATCTAAAAACTGATGAGAAGCACAGACTTCTTCAGAGTATGATAATTCTGTCTATGAAGTGATTTATAGTTATCATATCAGTGTGATTCTAGAACATCTCAAAAGATAGTGTATAAAGAACAGTGAGTGAAAGAGCATCTAATTGATACTACTTTGCTTATTAAGAGAAAACTTCACACTCAGATAAATATTATATATACAAATGAATAAGATGTGAGAAAAGAAATGAGAGTGATAAATCAGATTCAAAGAAGACTGCTCTTTACTTAAAGAAATAAAAGAGAGAGATAATTATCACTGAAGTTGTATAATAATAACAGAAATTATATAATAATATAGTGATATAATGATACAGTGATATAATAATAGATATTATATAATCAATAAAAAATCACTGAAATGAATATCTTCTCTAATTAATATAAATAACACTCTTCTCTGCTATCTGAATCAGAAGATATACAGAATTTCTCAGAGAATTTACTTAAAGCAGTAAGAAAAGCAGCTGAAATCACTGAATCAGAATCAAAGCTCTGTATGTGTACAAGAATTCTAAACAAGATTGAGATCTTGTATACACAGTGACAGACTGAGACAGAAGTCAAATAACAATTAACATTCACTGTGAATTAAGTATTCACTATAAAGAGCTTTGCTGATATAATCATCATTATTAATAAGAATAGAGAAAATCAGATCTTAGATCTGTAGTAAGAGATCAAATATTTACATAGATAAATAACTATACTGAATCTGAAGATCTTACTATGATTATTCTTAATCTCTTTAAAAGTATATATATTATTAAAGACTGCTGTATAGAATAAGAATCTGAGTATGAAATATATTAAGCTGAGAGATATGTTAAAGTTATCAAGCTTCAATGATGACTAAAAAAATAATGCTGCAATCAGCTGACTAAGTCAGATATAATCATATTATCAGATTAAATATAAACTCACAGATAGATAATTAATAAAATTTAAACAAGTTTTAAGATCTGCTGTGTTTCTATATAAAAAAGTGAAGTCATTATAAATAACTGATAAAAAATTGAATCTCACAGACTCAGAGTGATATTCATTCTTATAAATATAAAATGAGTTTTTCAAATGAATCTTGTATAACTTTGAGAAAGTGAATATATAAGATAAGTATTATAAACACTTCACTGAGTGTAAACAAGTAAGTGATCTTATATTATACTTTACATACTTCAGCTTACACTATCTTACATTGAATAAAGAGCTTTCAATATCTTTCTATTTACAGATCTTCATTCATGATCTTACACTTGAGTTAAGAGTGAAATGAAAATACTTAATCTTATAATCAGATATGATGAAAGAAGTATATAATATTCTTATTATATAGAAACAAATGAGTCAATTATAATAGAAAATACTGCAATTAAGTATATCTCAGCAGAGAATAGATAATCAGACTTCTATAATACAAGTTATACATCTGAATATAATAAATCTAGATCTGAATATCATTGCTAAAGCACTGAATTCTCTGAAAAAGAGATTCTCTGAGTGAAAATCTTGATATTGTAAGTATCAAGCTTGCTTTAACTGTAAATATCAAAATTATTGTAACATAGCAGAACCGAAGTGATGACTAGTCAGCGGCATCACATAGAGATAGTTGTTTGAGAAGCTGTATGAGTGAGCTTGACTATCTTGCTTGAATAGCAAGCTCATAGACTACAGGGTTATTGCAAGGATATCACAGATATAATACTTAGTATACTAAGAAGATTGTATGAGACATGCAGTAACTCTTATATATATTTCAGTAGAAGAAAATACAAATCACTGACTTCTTCAATGAGAAGTCAGCATCTAGCTATTCTATATAGATAATAGACAGATATCTTCTCTCATTTCATAAGTGAGAATAGCTGAAGTGATACCTCAGTGATATCTCACTGTCAAGAAAAAGTAATCTGCTGATCTCATATAGAAGTGAGGTTCTCATATTCATTAATTGAATCTTTCTATAATATATTTAAATAATGTTATAGAGCAGTTGAAAACTGGTTCAGATAGTCTGTGAAATGAATGAAATCATCTATATAAAAGTGATAAGCTGTGTGAAACTGCAGCAGAGCCTTGACACAGCTAAGAGTGTGACAATGTTCTTCTCTTTAAGAGTATAATCTCTATACTCTCAAGATTACTGAATTAGAAATTATCTTTGTTATATAGCAACAGTTATTAATTGATTGATAGTACATGTACTGCACATGATATAAAGAAATAGATGAGTTTTTCTACTGATTGTATAGATCTTTCTTTCTCATCTTCATTCAAATCAAACATGTGATAAGTGAGCTTCTTATATATTAATTTGAAATGTGAAAAATGTAGTTAACAAGTGACTTACAGATCTTTTAATATATTCTATTCTATATATGAAATTCCCTGCAAAAGTGATGTATTTTAGAGACAAAGCTAACAGTAGTGGCAGGATTTTTTTGAAAAGATCTCTCTCTCTCATGACACATTTTTCTCCCTTCTTCTCATCTGTAATAGTGAGTGCATGGGAGCATCATTCTTGAGAGATAATAAGAGGCTTATTCTGACATTTTCTAGTGAGTAATAAACATCTTCATGGTGCGGCTGCGGCCTCCATGACTATCAAGAAAGCCAGGTTGAAGACAGAGGCAGCAGTGTCAATGAACCACGGGAGTATCACTCTCATTGTCACACCTTCTTCTTCTTCTTCTCCTGCTTCTCTTGCGGCCGCAGTGGCAGTCACTGTGCCTTGCAGTGAGGTGTTGTTCCTTCTGCTGATTAATTTGTTCATGTCTGATTCATTCTCTGCCCTCTCTGTCACTGTTGCAACACCGCCCCTCTTCTCAGTCAATACAGTGATGTATGACCCTGTGTGATCATTTGAAGAGGAACTTGAAAAGAGCTTGATTTCAGAGACAATAACTCTGAGAAGCTCAATCTGTAGTTTCTCTTCTGCAGCATATCTGAGCCCTGCTCAGAATACTGCTAAGTTGAGTCTGCAGAGTTCTGTGATTTCTTCATCTTCTTTCTATAAGAAGGCTCTGATACAGTCTCTGACTAGTATCACTACTTATCTACACTGTATTAAGTAGCTGAAGAAAGAGAGAATTTTATACATCTGTTTCTTCTCTTACTTTTATTATTTTCATTATATCTGTAACAATGACTTCTATCTCTCTGTAAGTATTATTTCATAGAAAGATATCATATCAGCTCTGATAAGAAGTCTAGATACTCAAGCAGTATAGAGTAAGAGTCTTAGAGCTTTAAGTATTAACAGATTCTGTTAAGACTGAGAAGATTTCTCTTACTTATCTGTAAAAAGAGATAAAAGTGTGAATCTCTGAGATGAAAAAACACCTCAGAATGACTGATCTTAAGAAGAGATCAGCTGACACTGCTGTTGAAAGTATTATAGAGATTAATCACTGATTAAAGAGAATCTCACTTCAGTTAAAACAGATAACTGAGATACTTTATAAGTTAATAAGTTAATACTTTCAGCATCTCTTATACTCTTCTATAGTATACTTCTCTGCAGTATCACAGTGCTAACTTCTCAGTAGATAAAGATATCAGTGCTGAAGACTTCAACAGTAAAGAATAAGTTTGATAAGAATATAATTATTGATGAGTAGACTCTGATCTCTCTTTTTACTTTTTCAGTGAGCTGTAATCTTATTAGAATAGCAGTGATCTATAAATTAATAATATTAATCTTTTTATTGATTTTAAATATTTCTTTTCTTTTAATCACTTCAGAAATGTTATACTTGTATAGTCTTATTAAACTTCTAAAAACTCTTTGAGAGAAAATAGAAGAAGAGTGCTACAGAGTCTATAAGATACTAACTCATTACTATGAAATTATCTCTAAAAAACTCTTTGAGAAAAATGAGAAGTCTTAAGTAATATTTCTTACTTAATATCTCTGATATATAACAGAGCAGTCTCTACTAGTTATCTCATAGATTACAATCTCTTTCTCAGTATTTTTCAAATATTCAAGCAGTTCTCACAAATTCTCTGATAATGAATAATCTTCTTATTTAACAAGATATTGAAGCTTATTATAATGTATTTACTTATTCAATATTTTCTTCATAAGATATTCAGTATCACTCTCAATCTTGATATTATTTGACTGAGACAGCTCTGCTCTGAGACATTGTTTATAAAGCTTTAAATAGAAAATGTGAAAAATAGAATGAATTAATTTCAATTCTGTAAGTAGTTTTAACTTATATATCTGCTTACTCATCACTCTTATTACTGAGAAAGATTCTAGTCATCACTTACTGAGCTTCTTATACAGTTTTATTATCTTAATATTCTTTGCTGAAAATAGTACTTGATTCTCTATTAAGAACTTCATTAGAAGATATTTTTAATTATAGTATTTTATCTACTACTTCTGAGCACAGTGAATGCTTTTTACTGCCTTCTTATAAATTTTATTTAAAAGTTTCAATCTCACTTTTACTTCTAACACTGAGAGATACTCTGTTCTCTGTATCTGTCTGATATTCTGACTGTCTATTTCTCTCTTTGAAATGTTGTCTGTGATGTCACTGAATAATGAAGAATTATATTTATAATAAGTATAGAAAAAAGATATCTTTAAGATTACATTCTTTATATTATTATATATGAATTCAGTGATTAGAAGATGTTTGAGTCAATCATTCTGATAATATGAATAAAATACTTAAAAATACTGTTCTAGTGTCTGATTCTGACATTCAGTCTGATTATCAGTCTGTGAATGAAATACAGTACTGAGAAGATATCTTATCATAAGATAATAGTAAAAAGCTGATCAGTACTTGCTGATGAAGAGAAATTCTTAATCTATTATCAATGATTTCAGAGCACTGTGATTATAAATAATGATATTTAAAAACAGATCAGTCAATTCAGAGGCTTTAATCTTTTTATAAATAGAAATATATTTGATTATCTTCATGAAGCAGTTAATAATGATTAAAATTAAGTTATATTCTTTGACTCTTGTTAACTTCAGCAGATTAACTATGAAATTCATTAATAGATTCTGTTATAAGCTCTTTGAAATAGACAGTGATATCAACTCATTATATTACTTATACTACAGAATCTTTATTCTTTAACAGATATTATAAGTTTTAATATACTCTTTAATATCTGTCTAAAGCTTGTCTCAAATATATTTATATTTTAGAAGCTTCTCAGTCTTCTCTAACTTAAAGTACTCTGTATGAGAATTATTATAATGAATTCTTAATAACTTCTGACACACTGCTCTGCTATAAGAGATAAAGACTGAATTATTCAGCAGTAGAAGTTTATATTCTTCTAGTTATCAGTAACTTGATTTCTTAGCAGTATCACTCTGCTCAGAGTCTGTCTCTTTTAAGTTTAAATCAGATTCTTTCTTCTTTAACTTTTAAATTCAAGCTATAGTAGAGATGTCTCTCTTCTATAACTTATTAATAAATTTCAAAAGTAGTTGAGTTGAAAGATTGTAGACTGTTTTATCCTTTATCAATTCAATGATTGTAAGATATAATATAAGAAGCTCATGATCTTCAGTGTCAGTTCTCTGTAAGAATCTGAGTTCTCTTTCATCTTCTATACTGAGTTACATAGCTGCCTCTTCAGTGCTGTTTCTGAGCTTTAGAGAATCTCAATTCTCTGCAGCCAGCTTCTTCTGCAGTGATGACAGAGATTCTTTTATAGAATTCTTCTCTACATTAACAATATTATAATCAGGCTGTCTAGACAGTGTGTCAGCAGAGTTAAGCTAATCTGAATGATATCAGATATAGAAATTATACTCTGAAAGCAGCTCTACTTATCTGACTTAACATTCTATCAAGCTCTTTGTTGTCAAGAAGTAATGCAGATTTGCATAATCAGTGAGAACTTATACTGAGTACTTACTACTTTAAAGATAATATTATCAGATCTTAAAGAATTTAACAATTACTAATATCTTCTGATTATGAGTATTATACCTTCTCTGCATGAGTGATAACTTCTTGAAGAAGAAGATCACTGATCTTTATTCATAGCATTTTATAGACTCTGTAAAAAAGTCTTCTCTCATAGATAATTCATTATCTATTTTCTTAGAAATAATTATTCTCTGATTCTTTCAATGTTGAAAGATCTTTAATATCAACTGTAAAAAGATTTCACAGACTTCATTCTCAGATATATCAGTCTCACACTGACTGAATAAGTTGAGATTAAAGTGATTTAGTATTATGATATCTATAAAAGCTTATTTTAATTCTGTAAACACCTGCATAGTATCTTAAGTGAGAATAAACAGTTCTATTTTTCTATCTTTCACACTTTTCTTTAACAGATCTGTAAGAGAAGCAGTAATCTGTGAATATATATAGATGAATTATCTGTAAAAATTCACAAATTCTAAAAACATCTACATCTTATAATACATCTATAATACTGATCAGTTCTTAATAACAGAGACTCAGCTTCTATTCATTGAAATGTTATTCATTTTAATAATATAATCTAAGAAATTAATCTTCTGTATATAAAATGAGTATTTTTCAATGTTTATATAGAGTTGATACTGTTTTAAATGATTTAACACTTCTTAAACATGAATATCATGTTCTTTCTCTATTTTTAAGAAGATTAGAATGTTATTCAGATATACTATATAAAAGATATTAACAAGGCTCTGTAATATCTCATTTATATAGATCTGAAAGATGACTGAAGTATTATAAAGATTAAAAGATGAAACAAGATATTCAAAATTACTGTACTTGATATAAAAAGCTGTTTTTCAAATGTCATCTTCATTAACTCTGATTCTATGATAGACATCTCATATATCAATCTTTGAGAATATCTTTGCTTCAGATAATTGATCAATCATCTCATTAATCAATGATAATAAATAGTGATTCTTAACTGTTATCTTGTTGAGATCTCTGTAGTCTACACATAGACATAACCTACTATTCTTCTTAAGTATAAAGAGTATAGATGTCTCTGCTGAACTCTTTAATAAATATATTCAGTTCTTTGATTGCACTTCTTCAAGATATTTATGCAGAACATTCAATTTCTTTACAGACAAGTTGTAAAGAGATCTGTACAGTGCTGTTACACTGTCTTCAAGACAAATCTTATATTATATCTTGATATCAGAAAACTTTGCTGCTTCTCTTTCTCAAAAGACATTTTTAAAATTTATAAAGAGATATTGTATACATTCATCTTTAATAATAAATACTGCTACTAATCTTATAGTGAGAGTGATGACTTCTTCATCTATCTTCAAGTTTCAATCATCTACTACACAGTATATTAACTCAATCTTTTTCTCAAGATTCTTTCAATAAAACTCTTCAGATTTCTCTATCACTATCTCTTCATTAGTAAGACAGTATTATCACATCTGAGTGACTCAGTTAATGAGAGAATTGTTTTCTCTCAATTATGAAAGATTTAGAATAATGTTCTCATCTATAATATTAACTGTGTGAAGAAGCAGACTGCTCTTCTTGAAGATTTCTTCTAAGTCTGTGATCACACACTTTGCTTAAATTATGTTAAAATAATGATATTTTGTTTCATCAGTAAATTTTATATAATCTGATGAATCTATCTTCTTTCAACTCTTCATTAAAGAAAAGAAATAGAATATGAAGTTAACATTTATTTCAGAGTTAAGTAGATATCTTACTAGTATCTTCTCATTCAGAGTATGCATTGTGATTGTAACATGAACTCAGAGATATGAGAATTGTTAATTTTTTTCTTTCTCTT